GGTATGGGCATAGTAGTTTCGTGGAGGGCGAGTGCAATGTACACATATGGAGGAGCAAAATGTGACCCCCAGAATAAAAACTTGCCTTTGAGAGAGGAGACACTGACAGGAGTGTGGAGGCACAGATTAAGAGGAGCAAGAAGGGGCAGGGAGACCAGTCAGGAGGTTAATACAAGAATCAAGGTGAGGAATGTGGATGCACCATCTGGGGCAAAGGGAGCCGGGCTGGGGCAGGTGGAGAGGGGATGAAACCTGGGACCTGCGGTGTTCTGTAGTATGGATGGAGCCGGTGTTCAGATCCAGCTCTACTGCTCTTTGTTTTCTTACGCTGGCAACCCCTGCACGTTTGGGGTCTCAAACACCCCAGGCAGCTGGCAGGATGGGTTTGCCAGGGCCGTTTCCCGGTCAGCCTGCCTGCCTGCTTGTTTCATGTTCCAACTCCTTGGCAAAGGGGGGCAGGGAAAAGAAACAGAAGCTTCTCCCTCGCCATTCTACTAGGTCTCTCTTATTTATTCTGCGCTCTCTCTTCCCCGATTCAGGTCCTCTCATTATTTCTGAGCTGTACAGCTTGATGCTTCTGTGGCTCAGCTCTCCCACCCCCATCTGCGAAGTGTCAATCAAGCCATCAGATGAGCAGTTCAGCTTCACATCCTCGGTGGCTCTGCCCCAGGACATGAGCAGCAATTGCTGACACATACAGCCGTTTGGTATAGGGCTGCTGGCTCCCCTGTAATAGTCTTCCGAACCAGAATGGGTGTTAAAATGGAATTTGAGGGGATCACTTCTCTCTGCCTGCCTGTATCGGGACAGCCACGAGGATGGGCAACCCTCAGAGAAGGAGAAGCCTTCAGAAGTCGATTTGCTTTTTATTTCAAGGTTGGGTCATAGCCAGTGTCTGTTTCTGGAGGAGCTGTTTGAAATTCTTAATAAGCAGCAGAATGCTTGTGTCCAGGAATCCAGGGCAGGCGTGTGCAGTAGGGATCGGGAAATAGTATTGACATTTTATTTCTGAAGGGACATTATGTTAAACAATGAGTGAGGGGTGCATACAGAACTGATTTGTAGCTTCCCTGGAGGACAAACAATAGGAAATCTGTGGGGAGGGGGCGCGCCCAGAAAGAACTGAGATTAGAACAAAGAAAGAACTCCCCCAGTCCCTGAAACCCTGGACTAGGAAGATCTGAAGCATCTGCTTCCCCAGGGGATTTTTCCTTCTTTTACAAATTCTGAATGGACGTGCAGTTTTTATAGAATACAAAAGCTAATGAGCACTGAGCTCCCTTACCTGGTCAAATTCTTTCCATCTTGTATAGCGTGAAACTTAAGGCTGTGATCTGTGTGTGTCTATTGGTGCTCTGCTTCTTTTTTGCAGTGTTATTTCATATTCACATTTCTTAGCCCACAGTCCTCATTCTTGTCGTTTTGAATCGCTACATAGTATTCCATTGTGTCAACCTGCCAGAGTTTGTTCAACTATTCCCTGTGGCTGGGTTGTTTCCAATTTTTATGTCATAAAAAGTACAGCTATGCATGTCTTCATTCAGATGTCTTTTTCTCCCCTTGGATATTTCCTTGGGGGTATAGTTCCCCAAGTTGGATTTCTAGGTCAGAAGGTTTGAACCATTTTATATTCTCTTGCACGCTGCCCTAGCATGCTGCAGAAATCCAGACAAATCTGAGTTGCCCTCCTACGCTCTCTCCAGCCCACAGCCCTGACAACAGGAGATTTTATCTTTTTTATTTATTTATGCTGATTTAATAGGCATATAATCATACCTGGAAGTTATTTAATTCCCATTACTTTCATTGCTAGTGAGACTGGGCACATGTCCATGTAAGGATTTATTGTTTGCTTTTCCTGGTGTGTAAACTGTTCTCCTTTGACATCTTAGCAAGAAAAATCCAGGTGCTAATCTTATGTATTTATATCAAGAATTTACATACTAAATAGCATATTTTTCTGTTATGTCTGCCATTTGTTACTCTAAGGGGGTGGTCCAATGCGAGGCTACCTGGTCCCACTTGGATTCAGGGAGGATGGGGCTAAGATGACTTCCGGATTCCAGAGCGACTTTTTTTTCAGAAGGAAAAAAAAAGCCACTCACACATTACCCCTTCTCTGAGCCTCTATCTCCTTGGAAAGAAAGGGCTGGCCTGAAAAGATAGTCAGTTGCCAGGGCCCCTCTGGGAGTTTCTCGCCAGAACAGACCACTGTGCTGAGGCGGGGTGGAGTCCTTTGGTCACGTGGATTTCCCGGTCCATTATTCTCTCCCACTCACAGTGTCACCTCGAGAGAAGAAGCCAAATATTGAAATCAGAATCATGATTACAAGTTCTGACTAATCCTCAGAAGAGCACAGTGATTCAGGGAAGGCTTCTGGAGCGGGCCAGTCCAGGTTAAGACCTCAGTGCCTGTATTTACCTGGTATGTGTCCTTCGACAAGTGATGAACTCTCCAAGCCTTTGCTTTGGCTGTAAAGTGGTGCTTCAGTTATGGGTGCATAAAAACCTCCAAAGTTAGGGCCTCCCTGGTAGCACAAGGGATTAAGACACAAACTATGAAGCTATCTGCAGCCACTGCAGCATGAGTTCCATCCCCGGCCAGGGATTAACACACATGGCGCAGCAGACCTCTCTTGATTCGTGGGCTGCTCCCAGCGAATGGCAGAACCCATTTAGAATAGGCAGGTTTGCGGGATTTGGGCTGCCCCTCTCCTATAACACTATAACACCCTCAGCAGTGTATTTTGGTCAGTCTGCCTGTTCTGTTCCCCACTCTGTCTCTGGTGAATCCTCTCCCCCGCCCCACACCTCTGGCCTGTACCCCAGTTCTTGTATGCATAAATAAATAAATCTTTAAAAAAACAGCAACCTCCAAAGTTAACAGTTAATAACGACCGCATTATCCTCTCTCACAATTTAGTTTGTCAGTAATTCAGATGGTGACTGGGTGCTTGGTTCTGTTAGAGGGAAAGGATGTCCTGAGCAAACTCCATACAGGCTTTGTGGACTCCACCCCCACTCCATCAAGACACTGGGAACTACAAATCCCATCATCACCAAAGGGAAGGTTGCGAGGACCTGAGCGTGGAGTTAAGCAACTATGTTCTCTGTTTGAGTATTTAACTGGCCATGTGGTGGTGGGGGTGGGGTGGGGGGGGTGGGGGCGTGGGGGGGTCACCCTCTTGGCCATGCAGTGTGCTCAGTGCACCAGCTCGGCGGGTCATTGGGATTCCAGGTCAGAGGAACTGGTAGGACGCATTCACGAACTTATCTCCCCTTTTTTCTCCCTGAGTTATTCATTTCCCCATTCCCCCTTCCCTTGTAAGTAAACCTTTTATCAACCTTTTGTGCGTGTCTGCAGTCTAGCATTAATAAGTCCCCTTTAAGCACGTGGGTGAGGACCCATAGTCAAGTGACCTGTTTTATATCGGGGTTGCTCTGTAACATTCTTTTTTTTTTTTAAAGATTTATTTTTATTTATTTATACAAGCACTGGGTACAGTCAGAAGCGCGGGAGGGTGAGAGAATTCCCCAGAGCCAGAGCGGGGAGCAGAGCAGGCAGAGGAACGAAGTACACTGCTGAGGGGAGCAGCGGGTGGCAGGAGGGGTCTGTGCGCCATGTGGGACCCTCCTCTGGTGGCCGGGGAGCAGCCGGGGATCGAACTGGCACTGCAGAGGCTGCGGGCAGCTTCTCAGCCCAGCGCTCAACCGCTGCGCCACCGTGGAGGCCCTGCTCTGTAACATTCTTCTGCTCCACATGGCATGGACTTGGTCATTCAGGGTCGGAGGTGGCCTTCACTGTCACGTCTGGCTCTACGTAGCCTCAGGCCCTCAACCATGGCAGCTTGGGCTCCAGGAGCGAGTGTGCCAAGCCAGAAGCAGAAGCTCTCTGTGTCTTAAGATCTGGGCTAGAAAGTTTCCCAGTGTCATTTCTGCCATATGGTCAAGCAGTCACAGAGCCTGTGATGGGAGGAGTGACAGAGAATCTGGAGCCATCTTTAATGTGCCAAAGAAGGGATAAAAATACTTACTCCTAGAGCTCTGAGGATTAAAACAGATAATGCATGCAGAGGCAGATTTACTGTGAGGCTAATGAAACTTCCACCACCAGCCTACTTAATTGCAGGGTCTCTTCCAAGTCCTAGCACCTAATTTTGTATTCATAATTTTTCTTTTTCTTTTTTTTTTAAGATTTATTTATCTATGCATACAAGAGCTGGGGCACAGGCCAGAGATGTGGGGGTTGAGAGGATCCACCAGAGACAAAGTGGGGAACAGAACAGGCAGACTGACTGAAAATACACTGCTGAGGGGAGCAGCGGGCAAGACAGGAGAGGTCTGCCTTGCCATGTGGGTTTCTCCCTGGGTGGCTGGGGATTGAACTCATGTTGCAGAGGCTGCGGATTGCTTCACAGTGCGGTGCTTAACCCCTTGCGCCACCAGGGAGGCCTTCTTTTATCTATTTGTTTGCTGGTTTCATTGGGTACAGTCTTCAAGAGAGGATGCTCAAATTGTATAAGAGTCACACCCTACAAATTGCTTTGTCCTGAATGCGTGTAAACACACTTATTTAGCACAGTGCCCATCACAGAGGGTGGGTTCACTACAGGGTCCCTATGTCCCAGCTGGTGCCTGTCCCCTGTCCGTGCCCCAGGAGAAGTCTCCTCCTCTCACGCTGTCCTTTCCATTTGTTCGGGGTCATTTCTTCTTCTCCCTTTTAAAAGAACTAAAGTAAAACATGCTGAGAATAATTTCATAATCACAAAACTACCCTCCTAATTGGCCGGTGCATTTACCCCCTGACCTCACCTCCCACAGGGGAGGTGGGCCTTATCCTGGGCCTCTTGCCAAGTTCTTAGCTGGGCCTTCTAGAATCGCCAAAGGAAATCAGGCTGAAGAGAGGGAAACCAGCAGGGGGAGGCAGCATTCCCGGTGCCCAGCTTGGTCTTGGGGACATTGAAATTCCTGGGCCGAAATCCCGAGACAAAGATCATAATGAGACAGGAAGGTGGCATAGGAAGGAGCCCATTTGCATGACAATAATTGAGCCAAGAATAGAAAGCTAGAGGGATGCAAGGGTGAGGCTGGCAGCTGAGTTGGGCAAAACCTCACAAATCAGACTACCCAGCTCTGCTCTGCAGGGGAGGCGGGGGCTGAGCCCTGTGCCAAATTATGGCAGGGAGGGAGGAGGGAGCCCGACATGGCCCCAGGGGATTGTGGGATCGCCTGGCCAGGCTGGACTTTGCCTACTCCTCCACTCGGAGCCTGGAGACAGCCCCTGCTTGCCTTTTCCTTTGTGAATTCTGTGGCTGGAGGGCTAAGTGGGCATCATGGCAGCTCAGAAGGATCTCTATGATGCCATTGTGGTAGGGGCAGGCATCCAGGGCTGTTTTACTGCGTATCACCTGGTCAAACACGGGAAGAGGGTCCTCTTGCTGGAGCAGGTAGGGTGTCCCCTCTCTACTCCTGATCTTCGGGTTTCCAGGGCTAGCAGGCTATGGGGCAAAGTCCAAAGACCTGAGTCATCACAGATTGTGTGCAATTTGTAACTTACCTGCTGATGTGTTTCATGGCAATGTGAAGAAAGTTCCATCTTCCCTAAGACTCACATTAGGTTTCTAGATACATTTCTTTCTGTTGCTACCTCCCAGTGCATGCTCTTGACCAAGAAGTGTTCCAGGTCCTGTTCTCTTCTTTCTTGCCACCCATTCTCTCTTATACTAAAATGTTTGTTCTGGCCCGGAAAAATCATCGGCTCTGCTTTGGGTAACCTTAAATAAAGATAAATTCGCTTAGAGGTAAAGACTGATCTGTCAGCCTAAGAGGTATGATTCTTTCCTGCACCTTCCTGGTTTCTTAGCCTTAAACTCAGCAGGGGCTTCTGTTTTTTTCTGCCAGCTCTGAATAATAGCAACCGCCTTGCTTGATACACAGGAAATAAGACTTAGGTCTTATTCTTTCTTTTTTTTTAAAGATTTATTTTTTATTTTGTACGTATTTTATTTATTTTATTGTATTTATACAAGGCCAGATGCGCGGGAGGGTGAGAGGATTCACCAGAGACAGAGCAGGGAACAGAACAGGCAGACTGACGAAATACACTGCTAAGGGGAGCAGCGGGCGGGACAGGAGAGGTCTACTGCGTCATGTGGGACCCTCGCTGGCCAGCCGGGATCAAACCAGCGCTGCAGAGGCTGCAGACAGCTTCACAGCACTGCACTCAACCACCTGTGCCCCCAGGGGCGGCCCAGGTCTTATTCTTTCTTTCCTTTTTTTTAAATATTTTATTTTATATAATTCTTACATCATTTTTCATTTTTGCACAATGTATGCATTTTCATTTTGATTATATTCCCCATAAAATTGCACCCTCCCTTATTTTGACCCTAATCCTTCCTCTGCCCACCACCCCCCAGGTATTATTCTTTCTTATAGGAAAGGTGACCCCATGCAGTACAGTCTGCAGTGACCACCACATATGTGGGTGGGGTCCCAGATATTCACAAGGCCCTTCTGAGCTTCCCCAGTCAACTTCTAAATGTGTCTACCCTTTTGTTTACAGCTCTCCAGGCTGATTTGGGTTTACTCTTCTTGGTAATAAGATAGATTGGTGAGAAACCATTTTCATTCTTTATCAGTTTTCTCAAAGCCTGAGGGATTCCTGGTCCAATCTGGCAGGAAACTCTCCATGCTTTCCTGAATCCCAAGGCAGCTCCCTTGTCCTGAGTGATCTGTAGCCACAGAGAGATAGCCAGCACCCGCTTCCTTACGCATAAAATGAGGAGCTAAACTAGAGTGATGGAAGATTCTTTGTAATTCTGTTTCTGAATCATGCACTGGGTACAGTCAGAAGCGCGGGAGGGTGAGAGAATTCACCAGAGCCAGAGCAGGGAGCAGAGCAGGCAGAAGGACCGAAGTACACTGCTGAGGGGAGCAGCGGGCGGCAGGAGAGGTCTGCGCGCCATGTGGGACAGCAATCGGAGAGGCTGCGGGCAGCTTCGCAACCCAGCGCTCAACCGCTGCGCCACCGGGGAAGCCCGTAATTCTGTTTCTGAATCTAAGTGGGATGAGGTTGCAGCAGGATGATTGAAGAATGACTAGCAGAAGGACTTGTGGATGTGAAGACTGTTAGGAAAAAGGATGCCTGCGTTAGCATTACTCAAGGACTCCTATTCTGATAGTCAAATCAGTAAGCTGGTCATAAAAGGAGAATTTAGAGAGGTTTATGGAAAAAAATTTTTAAAGATTTATTTATTTATGCATGCACAGACCAGAGTGCGGATGGTGAAAGGATTCACCAGAGACAGATTGGCAGACTGACTGAAATACACTGCTGAGGGGAACAGTGGGAGAGACAGGAGAGGTCTGCTGCGCCATGTGGGTCAGCTCCCTGGCCGGCTGGGGGATCGAACTCGAGCTGCATTGGCTGCGGATTGCTCCATAGGCTGTGTCTTAACCCCTTGCGCCACCAGGGAAACCCTATGGAAATATTTGAAGAATAAATGGCTCCTGGCTGCCAACATTGATGAGATGGCTCTCTGTGTGTGTGTGTGTGTGTGTGTGTGTGTGTGTGTGTGTGTGTGTGTGTAGGTGGGGAGGGCAAGGGATAACAGCTTCAATTGTCTCTCTTATTCTCTACTTCCAGTTCTTCTTACCACATTCCCGAGGAAGCTCCCATGGGCAGAGTCGAATAATCCGAATGGCATACCCTGAAGATTTTTACACCCAGATGATGCATGAGTGCTACCGGATATGGGCCCAGCTGGAGCACGAGACTGGAACCCAGTTACACAGGTGGAGGCAGGGGTCGGGGAGGAGTTCCTTGAATCAGGGGTTTAGCACCTGGAGGTGCTTTTAGTATGTGCAGTAGACACTGAAAATGCAATGGGTGGGGCATAGGGCTAGGGAAGTGCCAGACACAGGAAGTGTCCTGCTCTCGCTGTCACTGTGATGACCCCACAGATCTACCTGGCTCCTGCCAGGCTCTGAGTCCCAGGACTGGGCTTGTACCATGCTTCCAAGGCTAGCAGAGGTTGTGCTGGCAAATCTGCTGGAAAGACATACTGGGCAGAAACCCAGAGGTGGAGTTTGTATCTACATCTCCATGGAGCCATCTGACATTCTCTTAGGGCAGGGACAGAAACGGAGGAGGAGGCTGCTGTCTTGATTGTTTATATTCCTACTAGTAGTAAGTAACCTTTCATGCTGAATCCTTCCTCCAGAGCGACCCCTGTAAATCCATTTTATTCTCTGCATAACTCCTCCCATTGGGACAAAAGGGATGCTCCCCAGGCTACATTGCTTGCCAGGGAGTGAGTCTGTAGCTATTTTCTTGTTGTCCCTGTGACTCTCTCCAGCCCCTAAAAATCCCCTCTCGCTGACCTTTCAAACACTTTCTTGGAAGAAGGCAGACAGGCTGTGATGCAAAGAGAACTTTAACCACCCATCCCACGTCCCCTCCCACCTTCTCTGTGGCTCCTAACTGAATTTCCCACAAAACCACAGCTCTACCCTACAGGGTGGCAGTTATTTTAATGACCAGGAACCAAGAGGTTACTGTTCTGTTGCAAAAACACCATTAACTTAAGAACAAAGTGAAATCCATTATGCAAATACAGCTAGGGCAGATAATTACAGATTTATTCCAGAGGCAGCTAATACACCCAGCACCCAAATAAAGGAGCATGTCTTGCTGAGGGGTGGCCTTGTGAGGGGTGGCCTGTTAGCCATCTGTGAAATCTGCTGAGTATCTTGTGCTAAAAGAATTGCCAAAGCCTCGGAGGGTTTACTTCTTCCCAGCAGACAGAGAGGCGACTAAGAGATGTTAGGAGAGTTTCTGACATCTTTTAGAGGAAAAATGATTCTGGAGTCAGACAGGCTTGAGTGCGACTCCGTGTTCTACCTCTGACCAACTGTGTGACCTGTTTCTGTACCTCTTTGTGCCTCATTTTTTTTCTCCTAAGATATTGTAAGGATTAAACAAGACTCTTATGAAATATTGGCACAGTACCTGGCACCTTTTAATAAATGGCAGTTCTTGCTACCTATTCTGGGTCAGCTGTCTCCTATTGTCCATTGAGAGAAGGAGGAAAAAGGTTAGGAGGAGGTAGATGGGGGTAGCAACCACGGACATCAGGGAAAGAGGCTCTCGGGTTCTTATACTCTCACAATCCTCCTCTGTGTCAGGAGGACAGGATTTGAAAGGACTTTGGAATCAGTCAAGCCTGCTCTCCTCAACTCTTTTAGAGGTGTGATTTTGAGTGAGCTGTTTAACTTCTGTGAGACTCAATTTTCTCATCTGTAAAGTAGGGGTGATACTATCTATTTCATGGGGCTGTGGTGAATATAAGTAAAGAATTTAGACTGGTACCTGAAAAATCATCCTTATCATGGTCGTAGATTGAGAGCATATAAGAAGAAACTAGGGCTGATCTAAGTACTTGTTCCCTGTTAATTGGGTTTATTTAACCCCTCAGCCTTGTCTGAGGGTTGCTACTGAGTAATCAGGGTCTTTACCCGTTAATGTAAATCACAAAATTAATATACTCATACTAGAAGAGAGATTGGCACACTTCTTCTGTAAATGGGCACATAGTAAGGCTTTGCAGGCCATATGGTCTCTGTTACAACTATTCAATCCTGCCAAAGACTCAAAATTGCAGTGTGAAAGCAGTCACAGATAATATGTAAACAAATGAGAGTGGCTGTGTTCCAATAAAACTTTATTTATGGGCACTGAAATTTCATACAATCATCATTCCATAAAACAGTATTCTTCCTTTGCTTTTTATCCACCACCTAAAAATATAAAGCCATCCAGGCTTGTGTGTCAGACAATAGGTGGTAGACCCATTTTGGTCTCGGGGTTGTAGCAATAACAGGGTGGTCCCCGGGAAAAGGGGAGGCTCCAGGTTCCCTGCCCCACCCAAGGGAGGGTGGAGCTGAGCAGGGAGAAGAAGCTGGAGAGGAGGCTGGGGAAGGAAGGAAGAAGGATGGAGAGCCAGAGGGAGACCTGGAGGAGGGATGTGGAGCAGAGAGACATGTGAAGAAGCTGCACTTGCTTCTTGGTCCTGGTCTGGTTGAAACAGACGTGGGTGAAAGATCCGTGGGGAGGTTAACAATGGCAGCTTTTATCTTGATTTTGATTTTGTTCTTTTCCTCCCAGACTTGTCTGACTGTTTCTGACCCTTTTTCTGTGGATCCCTGCCAGAAGGTGCTTTAGACTTGTGGCAGGCTTTTGGGTCTTGCTTTGGGCCAATCTTGTTTACCCACGAGGGAATGGGTAACTTTGGGTGCTTGATTTGAAAACTGCATTCTTTGTCTTTTCTCTATTGCACATTAATTGTATTAAAGCTCCTTTCCACTAAAGGTCTGTATGTTTTGTCTTGATGCGGTGGATGGCAGAACCTAATTAGAGCAGGCAGGTTTGGGGTTTCTGGGGTGCCCCTCTCCCTGCCCTGTAACAAAACTGGTTGCCTTGTCCATGCCCCATCTCCAGACAAGTTCATGCCTAAATCATCCCTGGGCAAAAGACTGCTAGTAGACATTTAAAGAGAGGATTATGTCGTAGCCCCCCTTCAAAAACCATTCTGATGCTTCACACTCCCAATTATGAATAATGAAGGGTAAAGTGAATGTGCTTTGAAAAAACTTTAAAATTCTGTAGCTTACTAAGTATGACGATATTATTAACAAGTCCTTTCTTATGGATAATCTAATTTACTCAGACACACTGATTTACTTGGTTCTTTTTCTTAGTAAGGGCACAGAACAGGTATTTCCCATTCCAATTCCTTTAGCTTTTGTCCCTAATTCTGTTTTCTAAATGATTCATCATCCCGTGTTTCTTATGCTCATAGGTTCTTCTGGAAGAGCCAGTACACTATCATAATCTAACGAGTAGATATCGAGTGCATTTACTTCGTGCTATTTGCTGATGATTAAAAGAAAAGAAACAACACAAACACCTTCAGGAGTTGGTAGTTAAGATGGTTGTCCAACTCTTTATTCTGTTCCGCCGCTGCCTGTGACCATGGCATACTAAACACGGGGCGGGGGGTTAGAATATTTGCATATATTCTGGGAACAGGCAATGACACACGTGTCAGATCACAAGGTCTGAGTCTTTTGTGATGTGTACAGCCAGGACACTGATACCAACAGCAAATCCCAGCTCTGTGGCACAGCTTTTTCCTGCCCCGCCTTCTCCCTTTGAGTCCTACTATCTAGCTCCTGACCCCGGCTGGCCCTGCTTAGCTGACAATATCAGACAAGATCACAGCCGTAGGCAGTACAGCTGCTGGCAGAACCTGGTGGCCCCCTCCGCAGCTGCTGCTTCCTGTGTCTGCGAAGTGTCTGGCTTGTCAGCCACATCCCCTCCCTGGAGCAGTCTTTGTTAACCAATTCCACCTCGGCCCACTGAACGGAAGATGAAACGCAGAGAGCTCCTCCAAAACCAACAAAGACAGCAGCCATTACCAAGTCCTGATTCGAGTCCCTTCCCCAAGGTGACTCTGAGAGCTGTCTCGCCTGGCAGTGTTAGCCCAGAGCGAGGAAAGCCAGAGTCTGGGGTGGGAAATGGCAGATGCGAGGGCTGTCTCCTCCTCCCCAACAACCCTCTCTGCTCCATGGGGCCTGGGCCTCCGTCCTGCTATAGTAACTGGTGGAAATCCCCGCTCGCCAACTCCCTGCATCACGACCGAAGCTTTATTCTGATAGCGAGGAATCAACAAGGCCCGTGGGAGGAATCTTCGATTACCTCTTTCCAGCGCTCGGTTGAGCTGGGGTTGGGAAGAAGGCGCAGTTCCTATCAGATGTTCCCCACTCGGCTGACGCCTTCTGGGAGACGGAGGAGGGCTCTTTCCAGGGTTCCTTGGCAACCCAGCCAAGGTGCCTTTTTCCTGGGTGAGACCTGAATACTCCCTTCCTGGTCATATTTTCCTCCCACAATGCCCTTGACCCTTCTCACTCTTCTCCCCAAACTTTGTAGCCGAGGTCTGGGCAGAAAAAGAGGAGAAGGAGGCCTGGAGCACAGGGTGAGAAATTGATGCAGAATGAGCAGCCTATTTATTGGGATCTAGGAAAAGCCATTAAGAAAATAAGCACTTAAATGATTTTCAATCTGCCCATGGAAGTCATCTATCTTCATACTGGGGGGAAAGGCCCATTCTCCAATCCTGGTTTTGATTGACTGATTTCCAATTCTCTAAGCATTTCCCACAGGAGCCTCTCACCTATCTCCCATAATGACAGGCCTTTGCATTTCCAGGCAGTGTTTTACATTTATTTCCGATTTGCTCATAATGGTCAAAAATCTCTCTCCAATCCAAGACATTTCTCCAGCAGTGCACGGTTTCCCTCAGGCCAAATAGCTCAGCTGTGATCCACGGAAAATGAGAATTTCCCAAACGCTTCTTCGGACTAGGGGAGGGTCCAGCATCACAGATTCAGATGGAAAATTTCCCACTGTTAGATCAATATCTAGGCTAAGAAATAAATGCCACAGGGGCAGGGAGCTGGAGCAAAATGATTACAATCGGCACAATTACATTCACCGGCAGAATCAGCGTGCTGATTACTCCTAGGGATGGGGCGCTCCCGCTTCATCCACCACAGGACGACTTGGGAATTAGAACATCACTCAGCGTTTCATAATTCGACAGATTTGCCCGTTGTCTTGGTGCGAGTACATTTCTGTAAGGGGCGTCCTTATTACAAAGAAAGAGGGAAGGAGCACGAAGGAAAGGAGGGAGGCAGGAGGGGACGAGAAAGAAAAAGTAAATCTCAGAATATATGAGAGCAAGGCCGGTATGTTACAGGAAGGGCTTAGAATATGCTGCCCTGGAAATCCTGGGCCAGGGAGGGTGCCTTATTATAACTGCTGAGCTAATGGCTTAGCCGGGTCCTTCCCAGAATTCTACCCAGCCACAACCCCCTTGGGTAAAAAGGGCTCCAGAGCATGCACTTGGGCGACTTCTTTATTACCTTGTTGACCAAGACGTTTACTAGGCAAGTTTTCATTACTTGAGAACCAATCCAAAGTCCTTTTTGGGGCCACGAGAAAAAGACTGCTCCATAGCGGGGATTTCTACAGCCTCTTTCCTCTGCTGAGCTTTGAAGCACGGCCGCCTCGCCCGTGCTGGATGCTGGGTAGGCGGGGGCCATGGCAAATGCATTGGGCACGCTGCGTGGCTCTGTGTACTGACACCAGCCCCAGGGCCTGCTGTGTCCCCACCCCCTCCCAATCTTTTCTTTAATCCCCCAACCAGATAATGTGGGATTTGGAAGCATGTAATATCCATGAGACTCTATTATAGGCTATTACGAGCTTTAGATGCAGTACCTGGGGGATGTACCAGGCTGATGCTGGTCCCTGTGGCTGCCGAAACTGAGGGGGACCGCAGTCATGGGCCCAGGGGCCAGAGTGACCATTCCACTGTTTAGATCCATTCCTACAAGATGGAGCTCTGGTCTCTGATGACGGAGAGACAGAACATCTGAAAGAGAAACAGCTTACACTCTTAGGGAACAGGAAGCACAGAGGGATGTACAAAGAGAAACAAAACCACAGACTCGCTGAATTAATTGCTGGAGGCCTAGAGAGCATCTCTTGGTATTTCTGCATGAGGACGCTATTGGCGCTCGCGTGGGACCTTTCTCATCAACGCAGGTTCAGCAGCCCTGGAGCCTGTCCACTTGGCAAGCCCCGCGCATTAAGACAACAGAAAAAAATGGCCATTTCCACGTGCCCTGGGGCAGGGGCCACCGCTAGACCAGCAGACATGTGTTAGAGGAATAACCTGGGCCTGGAGCAGTGGGGAGCAGAGCAAGGTCGCAGAGGTGATGCCAGATCTGCGAATTAGGGCCCTAATTCACAAAACGGCTGCTCTGAGAAGGAACTGAGAGACACACACAGAGGAAGGGACAGAGCATTACATGACAAGAAAAGGGGTAGGGGAAGGAAATAGCAGGGGGTGGTGGTGAAGAAATGAGGATAATGACTAGAGAGATCAAAATACTGAGTGGGCTCAGGGGACCAGAGGAAGGGAAAGGAATCTTATCAAAATCATAGGACATTTTTCTAGGTGTGAAGATGAAAGAGAAATTAGGATATCTGCCCTCAAGGGCAGGATGGATCCTGAAGGGGGAGGAGGGAGGGACAAGCAAACCCAAGGGAGAGCCAGAGCTGATTTGGGAGTGACTGCAAAGCAGTCCAATAACACAGAGACTCCTCCGACAGAATCTAGACGACTTTACCTGTTCTGTGAGCCCGTGACTCTCCTCTGCCGGAGAGTTGGTGAATAGCAAGAGCGAAGGGCCTCCCTTGTGGCGCAAGGGGTTAAGCACAGCACTGCGAAGCTATCTGCAGACTCTGCAGCACGAGTTCGATCCCTAGCAGGCCAGGGAGCTACCCACATGGCGCAGCAGACCTCTCCTATCTCTCCTGCTGCTCCCCTCAGCAGTGTATTTCACTCAGCCTGCCTGTTCTGCTCCCCCTCTGTCTCTGGTGAATCCTCTTACCTCCTGCACCGCTGGCCTGTACCCCAGTTCTTGTATATATAAATAAATAAATCTTTTTTTAAAAAAAAGAAAGAGTGAAGGTCCAGCGCCCTGACACGTACCCTCCCCCTCATCCTGGTGCTTTTGTTTGCTTGTTTGTTTACAGGCAGACTGGACTGCTTCTGCTTGGCATGGAGGACAATCCAGAATTAAAGACAATCCAGGCTACTCTGTCTAGGCAGCGGGTGGCCCACCAGTGTCTTCCACCCGAGGAACTGAAGCAGCGTTTCCCCAACATTCGGTTGACCAGGGGCAAAGTGGGTCTCTTGGATGAGTCTGCAGGAGTCCTCTATGCGGACAAGGCCCTGAGAGCCCTCCAGGTGGTATCGTGTGGGAGCAGCATGCGGCTCCTGTCCCGCGTGTCCTGGGTCCCAGTCGGCCAGTGAATGAGAACCTTTGTCTGTGGCTTTAGTACTGGCCTTTGGGGCAGTTGCTTTTAACATACCGTGCAAGGCCTTATCAACATGAAATAGGAGGGTCTAGATTCTGCACTCTCTTTTCTGTTCTAAGTAAAGGACTCTGTTCTCCAGGGTGACCATATGTTACTAATGCACTCTAATTTTAGGATGCAATTCAACAGCAAGGAGGTATAGTGTGTGATGGAGAGAAGGTGATGGAGATAAACCCAGGGCTACCAGTCAGGGTGAAAACCACCTCCAGGAGCTACCATGCCAAGAGCCTGATCATCACAGCCGGTCCTTGGACCAATAGGCTCCTCTGTCCCCTGGGAATTGAGCTGCCTCTCCAGGTAAGCAGAGTGGGAGAGCTGAGATTTGGTGTTTAAGAGAACAAATCTTGGAGCCATATAGACTCAGGTTTAAGTCTTGGACCTGCCACTTGCACTTGCTGGTGGATGACCTTGAGCAAATTCATTCACCTCACTGAGCCTCAGTTTTATAAGTTGTAGAATGGGAACTAGTGTTGTTATATAATGATATTATATGATTATATGATCAAGTCTTTGGGAGATGGTCTAGCCTATAGTTAGCCCTCAATACATGTGAGACATTTTTAATCCTTCGAGAGAGAGCGGGAAGTAGGGCTGGGAAGCAGTTTTGAGAGAAGACTAAGAATGGGGAAAGAGACAGCAACTGAGAGAGTTTGTGTCATAACAGATTTTGTGTCATGACACGAGAGCTGGATGAGACAAGGGTGGGTGAGTTAAGCAGGGTATCTGGGCTTGTATTAAAGGGCCACAGGACCCCAAGAAGAAACTGCTCTCATTGTCTGGCTTTCCCCCTTCATCTCCCGCTTCCTCTCCCTGCCTCAAGACCCTGCGGATCAATGTGTGTTACTGGCGAGAGAAGGTTCCCGAGAGCTATGGTATGTCCCAGGCCTTTCCATGCTTCCTGAGCCTGGACCCCAGCCTGGCTCCCCACATCATATACGGGCTGCCATCCAGAGAGTATCCAGGGCTGATGAAGGTGAGTGGAAAGGCATGGAGAAGGTTAGTAGAGGTCCAAGCAGATTTGGGGTATCTGGTCTAACTTTCCTTTCCACAGGCTCCACAGATCCTGGTGAGTAGCAACCAGAGGCTGCCTCACCACTAGCTGTTTTCAGTGCAAACCTTCTGAGGGAGTTCCCAAGCCAGCAAAGGGAGCCCTTCCTTTGTAAACAAGGAGTTGGGGTGGGGGTGGACTGCTAGGTAACCTCTTGTGGCAACAGTCAGCCTGTCCAGATGCGGACCATGGATGGGGACATCCTGTGTACAGACCTGTCCCCTAGGCTGGGTGGGGGTGCCAGCAGGCTGGCCCTGGCAGCTCACTGTGCTCTGATTGGGAGCCAGGTCTGCTATCACCACGGCAACAACGCGGATCCCGAGGAGCGGGACTGCCCTGCAGCATTCTCAGACATCCAAGACGTCCAAATCCTGAGCCGCTTTGTCAGAGATCACCTGCCTGACCTGGAGCCCGAGCCGGCCGTCATGGAGCGCTGCATGTACACGGTGAGGTGTGGGCCGTCGCCAGCCTCCCACGGCTCTGGAGGACAGGGGAAGGAGACAGGCCTTGCGCTGCTCAGGCTCTGTTTGACCCCTGACATAGTATGTGACTTGAAACAAACGAACTCATTTCTGTGGGTTGGTTCACCTCCACCAGAGAGGGGCCCAGGAGGTGTTATTCATATTCCTTTTCATTAGGAAACGAGGCTTATGCCTGGCAGTCTTTCACTATGTTTCCCAGAAGAGCTCTAAAAGATTTTTTGGCAAGATGTTTTAGCTGAGCAAGCCTTCGGGACTAAGAGAAGAGACAGATGTCACCAGGGCCTGAGGCATCTAGACTAAAGTTAGTTTACATGCATTAACTGAGCACCTACTGTGTTCATAGCTCCGCGGGACAAGAGAGGAGACGAATAAATGAGAAAGACTGGCATGCGGGAGGGGCACTGGCTTTCCGAGCGCATTTCTGTGTCCCCTTCCCATCCTTTCTGGAAACAAATCCAGCCCGGTCACCTCCCTTCCGAGTCTGCAGTTCTCCCTCCTCCCCCTGCCCTCAAAGGACGCAGGTGTAACTGTCTCTTTGCAGAACACTCCTGATGAGCACTTCATTCTCGATCGGCACCCAAAGTATGACAACATTGTCATTGGCGCTGGGTTCTCTGGTGAGTCCGAGGAAGGGGAGGTGGGATGCCTTAAAGCTGACTGACCTCAGTGCCAGGTATTTTCCATGCTCTTAGTTGACCAGATAGTTCCCCAAACGTAGCCATTGAGTTTACAAGGGGGCTGGACAGGCGATGCAAGAAGGGGTACTCATGACAGGAGACATCTGGCTTTGGGATGCCACCCAGAGGAGGTTAGCCTTACCTGGGTCTGTGTAGGGGACTGCAGAGAGCCCAATCCCAATCTATGAGGATGTCTGGTAACCCACTTTCCTTTCCCAGGACATGGATTCAAGTTGTCCCCTGTCGTGGGGAAGATCCTGTATGAATTGAGCATGAAATTAACACCTTCCTATGACTTGACACCTTTTCGAATCAGCCGCTTCCCTGACCTGGGCAAAGCCCGCCTTTGACCTCTGGCCAACAGCCTCTCTTTTGTGCATCAGAGCTGGGAATAAAACCCTCCATGGGAGAAGAGCACAAGGGACTATGGTGATGGTTCACGGGTGAATTGGTGGTGGGAATCTTATGGGGAATACACAACGACGTAAAAGATATAAAAAAAATTATTAGGGGCCTCCCTCATGGCTCAAGTGGTTAAGATGCAACCTATGAAGCTATCCACAGCCACTGCAGCACAAGTTTGATGGGGAACTACCCACATGGCACAGCAGACCTCTCCTGACTCACCTGCTGCTCCCCTCAGCAGTGTATTTCAGTAGATCCACCTGTTCTGCTCCCCACTCTGTCTCTGGTGAATCCTCTCACCTCCTGCATCTCTGGCCTGCACCCCAGCTCTTGCATGGATAAATAAATAAATCTTTAAAAAAATAAAAATAGGGACTCCCCGGTGACGCAGCGGTTGAGCGCTGGGTTGCGAGGCTGTCCGTGGCCTCTGCGGTGCCAATTCGATCCCCGGCTGCTCCCCGGCCACCAGAGGAGGGTCCCACATGGCGCGCAGACCTCTCCTGCCTCCCGCTGCTCCCCTCAGCAGTGTACTTCGGTCCTTCTGCCTGCTCTGCTCCCCGCTCTGGCTCTGGTGAATTCTCTCACCCTCCCGCGCTGCTGACTGTAACCAGTGCTTGTATAAATAAATCAATAAATCAATAAATCAATAAATCTTTAAAAATAAAATAAAATAATTATTAAAAAAAAACACTCCTGGGCCTCCCCTGGTGGCACAGCAGTTGAGCGCTGGGCTGCGAAGCTGCCCGCAGCCTCTGCAGCACCGGTTCGACCCCTGGCCACTGGCGAGGGTCCCACATGGCGCGACAGACCTCCACCCGCTGGTCCCCTCAGCATGTATTTCGTCAGTCTGCCTGTTCTGTTCCCCGCTCTGGCTCTGGTGAATTCTCTCACCCTCCCGAGCTTCTGATTGTACCCAGTGCTTGTATAAACAAACAAACAAACAAACAAATAAATAAATCTTGAAAAAAAAAAAAAAAACAACCAACCCTCTGTAGGGAAAGACTTCTCAGATGAAGGAAGTGGCTGTGAGATGACATGGTTTCCTTCTGCCTCTGTTGAGTCTCCCATAAATACCAGATGATTGAATCTACCTTCTTTCCCTGGCCAGCTGCCCAATCATACTACCTTTTTTTTTTTTTTCCTTTTTTGCCTCCAGAAGGTCAATCAGATATTCTGTAATCACAGAGCAGCAAGGACCTTGGAGATGGATGTCTCAATAAGGAGGGGGTATAAGGACTGGCTCAGAGACCAAAGCAGTTGTCAAAACTCTCTTTGCTGGGGCCTTAGATGAATTGGGGGTAGATTTGACAGAGGCTGCCCAAGGGAGGGCAAACAAGCTCATCTCCAGTTTCTCACTGCTGTCCTCCAAGTTTTTTTCCCTAAAACGAGAGCCACCCTCCATCACAACGTCCCATAAAATCTGGCTCATCTTGGACGCACCATAAATGTTGGTTAGGAAAAAAAGTGTTGCGCAAACAAGTAAATAACTGCATTGCATTCAAGTCTGTGGTGGGCTTTATTTTCCATGTGACCTTGTTTCTTGCAGACTTTAAGTGTTTAAATCAGCACCGGAGAATCCATTAGCCCAGAAATCCTGGAGGTCTTCATCCCCTCAATGTGCTGCACCCTCTTTCTCTAGATTCTTTGTCTGGTTCACCTCCTTTCTCTGGTTCTGTAAGAATGCTCTGCTCCCCGGTCTCTCTCATTAAGGTGTATTGTCAGGTCCTTATGAAGATGGAGCTGTTATACCAGAAAGAAAGAGAGAGACATACTCGCTTAGAAACCCTGTTCAATGTTTGAATGTTAAATGTGCCATTTTATTATCATTAGGATTGCTCCCACTTAATGAAACAGCATTAGCACCGAGTCGGCTGGCCTCCCTGCACTAATTGCTTTGGAAGGCAACGGGCTCATAACTACCCCAGAGCGGGTGGATGGGCGAGGGGTATAAACAGGGATTCATGCAGGGCTGCAGGCGCTCAGATGGAACTCATGGAACTCCAGCTGGAGGCTCTCCAGGGTGGGCCAGTGTGACCCAAGAGAGGGAGCTTTGAAGTGCTCTGGGGAGAGGAGAACCAGGGAGATGTTAGGAGGAGTCTTTGAGGGAGGAAGACTGGGACATGGGAATAAGAGTAAAAATATTCCCAGCGGAAATGCAGCCCAGAAGATTCCTCTTCCACTGCCTTCTAGGCCTAGGCCCCTGGATTCACACTGATTTCTACAGGGAATTATTAAAGCCATCTAGTCCCTCAACCCCGAGTCTGTTTTTGGGTCCTCTCAGCTGGTTCTCTGCACTTCAGCCTCTGTAAAATGGGAATAATCATTGTTTCTGTAAAGTGGGCAAAACACTAGCACATGGGTGAAGTCTGAAGACATTATATTAAATGAAATAAGCCAGATAAAAAAGGACAACCGCTGTCTGATTCACGCATGTGAGGGACACAGAGTCGTCAAATTCAGAGAAACAGGACACAGAAAGGTGATCTTCAGGGGGTGGGGAGAGGGGGAGGGGAGTTTGCGTTTAAAGGGCACAGAGTTTCAGTTTGGGAAGATAAAGAGATCCCAAGATGGATGGTGGCGCAGGTTGCATGACAATGATGTGAATGCACTTAATGCTCTCAGCTGAGCACTTGAGCGTGGTTTAAACAGTACATTTATGTATCTCTTACCACAGCCCCCAAAATGAGAATAATAATACTGCCCAGCTCTGCAGGAGTGTATCAGGATCAAATGAGACAGATCATTCATTCATTCATTCATTCAATCCACGTATATTTATGGAGACTTTGAGAGATGTGTGCCAGGCACTGTGGGTATGCCCATGAACAAACCATAAAACCGTCTGCTCTTGTGGCATTTACTGTGCCAGGGAGGAGAAGATATCTAAGAAATACTTGCAAGTAAATGAAATTGTACACGAGAAGGTGACAAGTGCATTGGGGAAAAACAGCAGGGTGGGGAAGACAGAGGATGCTGGCAGAGGGGTTTCCCCTTTCGATGGTGGTCAGGCTGGATAGATTGAGGAGGGGGCATTTGGGTAGACCTGAAGGAGAGGGAGGGAGTGTGACATGCCCACATGGGGCAGTGCGGAAGAGAATGTGGTAATTGTAAAGCAAGGTGCTGTGTTATTACTGAGAGGGTACAGAATGAGGTACGGAGAGCGATCAGTGTAACATCTGGCCAGCCCCCAGGCTGGCAAAGTTAGCAAGAAAGGCAGTTGGGAATTTCTCCCTCGTTCCAAATGTTCCCTCTACCTCTTCTTCTCTCAATGCCACCCTCCTCCCCCAGCCAGCTGCAGCTCCCCTTCTAAAATATCCAGTCTTATTCAGTTTGCTGGTGACAGCTAAAGGAGGGGACCAATGTCTAGAGGAGGCTGAAAAAGGACAAGTGGGGGATGCTGACGAGTCCTGACTGAGCTGACTACGGCCCTTTAAAACGAGCTGCTGTGTCCTAGAAACGGAGAGTGCGAGGCGGGGCAGGGCAGGGGCCTGTGGGGAAGGGCAGGTGTGTGTGGGAGGGACGGGTCAGGGAAGAGTGATGAGAAGCAGAATTGGATATAGTGTTAGGGAGAAAAGGATGTCCTAAAGCTAATTCCATACAGGCTTTGTGGACTCCACCTGGGGGTGGAGTCCACAAAGCCTGTATGGAATTAGCTTTAGGACAACCTTTTCCCCCTAACAATAGGAGCTGGCAATGTGCAGGCCAAGAAGGCACTCAAGGACCTACAGGGAAGCTTCCCGCCCCCAAAGCCAAAGGACCTGATCCATCAGGAATGGCCAATGGGGGCAACTGAGGATTTCTTATTGGGAGTGGTGTGGGGCTCCAGAAGGGAAGAGGAGATGAGGGAGTAAAGAGTTTCTGGGTGCAGGGGAGAGGAAAGGTCACTGTGGAAGGTAGCAGGGGCTGGAGGACATCTTGAGAGTTTTAGGAACATTGAAGGATTTTCCAAAACAGACCTGACAGAATTACCTCCCTTCTCCCTCCTGCTTGAACGTGCATGGCCAGACATCCCCTTTCAGGCGGATCCTACGCATCTTCAAGATGGAAGGAAATCAAAATAAATCGGACAGGCAAGAGGAGCCCTCTGGAAGGGCAGCAAGGGTCTGCACAGGCTGCCGGGGAGAGATAAGGGCAGCAGAGAGAAAGAGGCCAGCATGGTTGCCAACCAGACTAAGGAAAACAGAGGCAGGCTAAAAATAGATTGGGGGTGGGGAGGGAGGCGAGGCAGTCCAGAAAAGAAGGAAAAGCAGAGGCAATCGATGCCTTTGCGACTCTGACCCAATTCTTCATCTTTCAGCCTCACCAAACTGAAAAATCAGGGGGTTTGGGGAAAAGGGGAAAGACTAAGACAGAGGGAGGAGAGTCAGGGGGAAATAATTTGAGTCCTAAAATGCAGGCAATTGTGGGATACGAATCAGCAATCAGGATCGGGAAAAGAGGAGGTTGTAGTGTAGTCAGTGCTAGTCGCCACACTGGTGGTGCTAAACTCTCACCAGAGTTTGGTATCCCAGAAGGCGCGTGAGTGCGGCTTGGAAGGAGTTTCAACTCTCTCCAAAGGTGAAAGGGGGCATCAAGGCTTAGTGGGTTGATCTGGAGACAGCAGACTGGAGAGTGACTTGCTGCTGGGTTATACTTCTCAGGAGAGTGAGGAAAGAGAGCTGGGTTATTGGATATCATCTTTCGATGGTGGGCTTCCAACGCAGCAAGGGGGATTTACGTTAGACCTCGCGAAATCCATCCCACTCAGTAGATGTGTGAGATATTGAGTCAGCTATGGAAGCACTCTGTCTGTAGTCTTCTCTTGGAAATCTTTAAAAATGAGAAGCCCATCTGTTTCGGCCTGTGCAGGCTTGCCTGAAGGTCAGAGCCTCCCCGAAAACCTCTGGAAGACTTCTGGCTAGTGAGGAGAGCCAGGATTTTTATGACCCAGGAGGTAGGTCTGAATCGGGCGTCTGGGCAGCCACCTAAGGAAGGGTTAACGTAAGCTTGGGGAGGGGGGAGGTACTAGGCCGGCTGCTCTGTCAGGCGGGAGAAGGGAGAAGCTGCGGGACAAGGGGCAGGATTCTAACACGGAGGACCCAGTGGCATTTACATAACTTTGAATAATGAATAAGCCCAGCTCTGGGGCTCCTAGTCAGCATGCTCATCTGCATCTTTATTAAGCTTTATAAATGATTCAGCTCCCTACCCCTTCCCCCTAGCCCCTGCCCAGCCTGCCCCAAGCATCAGGGTAGTTGATTGCTCATTATTTTTGACTAGATTTGTTTCACCAACATTCAGTGAGGCATGGCGTGGGGGACACAGGAGGGAGGAACGAATCCGAAAGGCAGGCA